AACAATCGGCCACACCAACCATTCTGCTGGCGTTGTAAAGGAAATCATCCTCCAGCAACTTGCCCCCATGGTGGTAACAATCGATCATTTTCTCCAAACCTCCCTCAGCCAAGTAGCAGTTCATCCCAACTCCCATCAGCTCAAAGTTCAGCGACTCTTGGTTCCCTCACAAACTCTCAACTTCTGGACCAAACCTGTTCTCCAGCCACATCAACAACTAAACCTCTGCCTTCTCAGTTGATGGTTCCCATCACTGTCAGTTCCTGGAAAGGAGCTGCTATCTTGGACACAGGTTCTTCTTATACTCTGATGAATGAGAGAGTATGGAATGAAATCAATGGAGTGATAAAGCCTTGGACGAGAGGACCATTATATTTGGCTGATGGTGAAGGACGGCATCCCCTGGGATGGAGCGAAATCACTATCACATTGCAAAAACAGTCAATCACCTTACCATGCGTTATTCTATCTGCTCAAAACCTCACTTTTCCTGCTGTCCTTGGTCTTGATTTCATCTCCCTCTCTGGCCTGCAGTTTGATGTGTCAGAAAAACGTTATTGGTTCAAGTTCAACAGAAAACAACATTACAACTTTCTTCAAGAGTTTGCATGTTGGCCAAATGAACCCCATCAGCAACTTGCCTTTTTCTCTGCAGTGGCTCCTGCTACTCTGGTTGCCCTTGGGACCAATGATGAACTGTTGCAGAGGGCAGTTCACACTACACACCAGGATGACTTTGGGAAACAGTCATTGTTATGCCAACTGCGTAACAATTCTGATGTATGTACCACAGAGTTGGGCTGCACGAATGTACTTACTCACAAGATTTACCTTTCTCAAGATGTGCCAATTAAACAAAAACCATATCGAGTCTCACCTGCTAAACTTCAGATGATTAGGGAGCATGTAGATGAAATGCTGGAGAATGACATCATTGAACCATCCACATCTCCATACGCCGCTCCTGTTGTCTTGGTGCCTAAAAAAAATGACCCCAAACTACGTTTTTGTGTCGACTTCAGAAAACTAAATGCAGTCACACATACAGATGCATATCCATTGCCAAACATTCAGGAAATCCTGGAGTCTCTTTCTGGAGCAGTGATTTTCACTACACTAGACTTGAACAGTGGTTACTGGCAAGTCCGCATGGATCCAGAAAGCTGTGAAAAAACTGCATTTGTCTGTCCATATGGCCTCTTCCAATTTAAGGTTATGCCATTTGGCCTGAAAAATGCTCCAGCTACATTTCAACGACTTATGGAAGTAGTATTGGGTGAACTCAGAGGTAAAATTTGTTTTGTATATTTGGATGACATCATCATTTACTCAACCACTTACCATCAGCACAGTGCCGATATACAAGCCGTGTTGGACAAACTTCGTGAAGCCAACCTTACAGTCAACATGAAGAAAAGCCAGTTTTTCCGTTCCTCCATAAAATTTCTGGGACACATAGTATCCTCATCTGGTGTTGAGGTAGATCCAGACAAGATTAAAGCCATTCAAGAATTTCCTGTACCCCAGAATATTAAACAGCTTCAAAGATTTCTGGGAATGGCTGGCTGGTATCATCGTTTTGTGCCTGATTTTTCTGCCTTGACAGAACCACTCAATGCTCTAAAGCGAAAAGGAGTCAAATTCCTTTGGACACCATCTTGCCAAAAATCATTTGATGCTCTGAAAACTCACCTGGTCTCTCCACCCATTCTGGGTCATCCAGATTTCAAACTGCCATTCATTGTTTATACTGATGCTAGTGATGTGGGTTTGGGAGCCGTTCTAGCTCAGCAGACTGGGTTAGGCACCGAGCAAGTCCTGGCCTTTGCCAGCCGAACTCTAAATAAAGCTGAAAGGAACTACTCTACTACTGAGCAAGAATGTCTTGCTGTTGTTTGGGCCATTGAAAAGTGGAGATATTACCTTGAAGGACGACACTTCACCGTTGTGACTGACCATTCACCTCTGATCTGGGTTTTTAAAACTCATAAACCTAGCACTCGGCTGATCCGGTGGGCTCTTCGTCTGCAAGAATTCTCCTTCACAGTGGAATATCGAAAAGGAAAGTATAACACTGTTCCAGATGCTCTGTCATGAGCCCCAATCAATGCCTCTGACCATTCACCAGTTACCTGTGCTGTCGTACTCCGGTCGCAACGTGACACTTCTCACCCACTCCAAGTGACAGATGAGAACATCTGGAAGGCTCAGCAGCAGGATCCTTTCGCACAAAACATTTACCAACAAATAATGGACAAAGGAACAGTACATGAGTCGCCAACAATAAAGTACACTATCCTGGAAGACAAGGTTTACAGAGTTGTTCAATTACCACACAAAACTCTTTACCAAGTCTATATTCCACCATCACTCCGTCAACAGTTACTTCATCACAATCATAATGACCCTTTATCTGGACATTTTGGACGATACAAAACCTACAAACGGTTACAAGCCTTGGTGTATTGGCCGAGGATGAGCATTGATGTTCGGGACTATGTGAGATCCTGTCAAGTCTGTCAAATGTACAAACCTGAAACCCGAAAAGCTCCTGGCAAGTTGCAACAGACAGAGGTGAGTGCACCATGGGAGATGTTGGGCGTGGACCTTATGGGACCCTTTCCACGGAGTTCTACTGGTAATGTCCATCTACTTGTTTTTGTGGATTATTTCTCACGGTGGGTTGAAATGTTTCCCCTCCGCAAAGCTACTGCAGAAATAATTTCCCAATACTTGACCAGAGAGATTTTGACACGATGGGGAGTGCCAACATACATTCTCTCTGATCAAGGTCCACAATTTATTTCTTCTGTATTCGAGGAGACCTGTAAAAGATGGAATCTCACACCAAAGAAAACCTCTGCATATCACCCACAAACTAACCTTACGGAGAGAGTTAATCGCAACATCAAGGCTATGCTCTCATCCTATGTCAGTAACAAACATAAGAGTTGGGATAAATACCTACCGGAATTTCGGTTTGCTTTAAACTCTGCAGTGCATGAATCTACTGGTGTGACTCCAGCTGAACTCAACATTGGACGACCTCTGAAAGGGCCTTTGGATGCAGAGCTGAGTCCAACCCTTTGTGACCCTGACACACCTGTCTATGCTACAGTAAAACAGATTGCTGAGCTCCGTGAATTTGCTGATGTCAATCTGAAAAAAGCTAAGCAGCGACAGAAACACAACTATGACCGTGGAAGAAGAGATGGAAACTTCTCAGAAAGAGACCGTGTATGGATTCGTTCACACCCTTTATCAAAGGCTGATCAATCTTTTATGGCCAAACTTGCTCCACGATGGAAAGGTCCTTACAGAATCATGAAAAGGACTGGCCCTGTAAATTATGAAGTGGTTCTGGAGGATACTGGAGAAGATCTCCGCGTGGTTCATATATCGCAGATCAAACCTTGTTTTCCTACAGCAGAAGAAGTGGAAAAAGAGCAACACAGAAAAGTTCAGGAACTGTTCCATGAGGAAAGCGACCATGAAGATTTCCATGGTTTCACTTCTTCTGACTTTTAAATAAAAGTAGATAACTTCTAATAGAGAGTTGAGCATTTAAATTACCTCTCTCATAAGAATGTCAACACATTGATCGCATACAAAACAGCAAGCTTGGAGAAAATCTAAGATTGAAGTAATGAGGCGTATAAAGGATTTTTCACCCTACTAGCTCGGGACTTCTCAAGGGGGGGGGGTGTGTGACAACCTGCTTGTTGCACAGAGCTGGCTGCACCGTTATTCATAAACCCTCCTGCTTCTTCACAGCTCAAGACACACCTTCTTTACGCCCATTTAACACATGCACTTACCTGATTGGTCCGCTGTTCAATCTGACTCCTAGCTCCAGTTTGAAAAAGTCAGTGTCTCAGCAGACAGCGTAACAGAAACAGCTGCTGCTACTACGTCTGCATATTCCGTTCTATCGACCAGTAACAAAGTCAGTCCGAGGCCGTTTAATCCCTCGTGCTTTCAGTATTTTGCCACTGTTCTGGATCCCACCGATCATTAAGGAAAAGGAGAAAACCAAACAAACAAAGAAACTTCATTCTGTGCTCCTGCCGTGCTGACGTGTCATCACAATTACCCGGAAGCCGGTGACATCACAGTTAAAGGTCCTCCTGAAACCAACAACAGAAAACCTGTTCCAGCGCCTGCCTCTGAGCAAGATTATTTTCTCATCAGACCTCTCTTGCTGTGGGGCAATCTATATTGGAGCCCTAATCCGTTGGATTATAATGGACATTTATTTTTGGAGAAGAATTTTGTGATTATTTTTTGATGGCTATATATTTATTTTTCTTTTTGAAATACAAGGACTGTTAAGCCTAATTTTTTGTTGTCTTTTTGTGAAAAGTTTTCATTCCTTATTTGTAAGGGTCTACACACGCAAAAGTGTATGGTCCTTGTGTGACTGGTTTAAAAATCTATATATATTGATCCTACTTGTCAGGAGGGATACCTGACTGGCACCGCTAAAAAGTGACAAATACCCTGTTAAAAAAAAACTAAAACTAAAATAATTAACCTTGTAAAAACCGTCACACCCTTTAATGCGGATGTAGGAGCTGGTATGATCTGATCAGCCCACAGTAGCTGGAGATATCGGCTCATCATCAGAGTTTCTTGTCATGTTCAGTACTTTTAGATGTGCAGCCTCTGAGATTATATCACTATATTACTGTATATATAGTTTTTCTCTTCACTATAGAAACTTTTTTTTAATCTACTCTCATTGTAAGTGATTCCCTGCAGCTTGTTTTTCTCTGTGCGAGCAGGAGATGTTAGGATTCCTTCGCCTCCAGATTGACTGACAGGTCAGTCAGCCATCCTGCATTTGGTTGTGAATAAGCTCCTTTCTGTCCTCTGTCTCAGAGCTAATTCAATAATTTTATTTTGAATAAACAAGCCTTGCAGGCAGAGAGCTATCCAGCAGATTTCAGACATGTGGGTAATGTTACTGACTTTCTGCCTATTTTTATTTTGTCTGCCAGATGTTTTCCAAAAACATGGTGTGATCAAACTGGTGCAACATGGATCCCGAAGAGCTGGAACTGCAGAATGACTACCGTTACCGTAACTATGCAGCAGTCATCGAGAAGGCGCTGAGAAACTTTGAGTCGTCCAGTGAATGGGCGGACCTCATCTCCTCTCTGGGAAAGCTCAATAAGGTGCAGCATGAAGCCTCTGGACGCCTTATCTGCCTTTTAATTGATTTGTTTTGTTACATTAACTTGCGATTTACAGCTTCCTCTTTGGTATTTAGATGATTTTCAGTTCTCTGAGGTTAGTGGTGAGGTGGACTTAGTTACACTTCTTCTTTCTGGGCTTTTTAAGTCTTGTCATCATTTATTGTGAGGAATAAAAGTCCCCTTGGGTTAAAAAAAAAAAAAATCCCCCTGAAAGTGGAGATTGATTGAAAAGGGTGGTTTTCTAAATGTTTGATGACACTTATAAATCTCTTTTTCATTTTCAGGCCCTTCAAAGTAACCTCCGCTACTCTCTCCTACCCAAGAGGTTGATCATAGGGAAGCGTCTGGCTCAGTGCCTCCACCCGGCTCTGCCCAGCGGAGTGCACCTCAAGGCCCTGGAGACGTACGAGGTCATCTTTAAAATCATTGGTACAAAATGGCTGGCCAAGGATCTGTTTATTTACAGGTAAAGAACCTGGATATTCTTCAATTAGACCTTCTTATAACCGATCTTACCATCACTTTATGAATGGATTATTTCTTTTTCCAGCTCCGGGTTGTTCCCACTGTTGGGCCATGCAGCCATGGCTGTTAAACCTGTGCTGCTGACCCTGTATGAGCGTTACTATCTCCCACTGCAGAGGGCTCTGCTTCCCAGTCTGCAGGCCTTCATAACTGGACTCTTACCTGGTCTGGAAGAAGGACTGGAGGTCTATGACAGGTATGTAGAATCTTCTTTTTTCTTTTTTTATGTTAAAAAACTGTGTAAAGTCAGAACTATTTAAATCTTAAGTTTATGATCATTTGACATAGACTTTTGAAACACAGTTTACCCAGGGTGTCTGTCTGTCTGTCTGTCTGTCTGTCTGTCTGTCTGTCTGTCTGTCTGTCTGTCTGTCTGTCTGTCTGTCTGTCTGTCTGTCTGTCTGTCTGTCTATTCTCCTATTTTGCGTAATCTGAGATCAGGTTGGACATGAAACATTTCAGGGAGGAAAACCAGATAGGCCTCTGCCAAGCAGAGCTCTACAGCTGATTTTGTGTAATTCCAAAAGCAATTCTAGGCTGATCTGGGTCTGCCCCAAAGGGCTGTTCTTAGAAACTCCATATTTAGGTGCTGCCTCCCTCTCTTTAAAGCAGACACTCAATGAGAAGGTTCAATGGTTAAATGGTTGCTTTATTTATCACCCAGCCTGCAGCAGCATGGGTAAAATTTAAGTTTAAGTACAGTGGCTGACCACACAGACAGCGGCGGAGAATCAGAAGATAGCAGAGCACACCTTTAGCACACAGCGCTGTATGAGTTGGAGCACTTAGCAAAGCTGACAGCGTCAAAAACACAGGTGAAGCAAAGCAGAGCAATAAGGAGTGGCAGCAGGTGCAGTGGGTGTTTCTTAGGACTTGAAAATGCTTCCTGGTTTGTAGTTTTGTTCAAAATTCAAATCTGTAGTGATTTCAATATGCCTAATGCATTTACATTCCACTCTTATAATGTGTCTTTATTAATTTAATTCAAAGATAAAAGACATAAAATGGAGCAAAGAAACTATTAAAAGTGTAAGTAAATAAAATTTTTATCTTTAAAGAGTAAGTACATACCATATGCTGGTAAAGCCTATGGACCTTAAACAGAGGGTTTGAGGCAGTTTATTGAAAAATCCTCACATCACAACAGGCTGTGCCCAAACAGACCAGCCCAGCTGTCCTCCTTCAGTTTTACAGCTCTGCTTAAGGCAGTGTTTGTCATCTTTACTCCACCAAGTAGATGTCTGGTGTCGTAGTATTCATGCAACCAAACAGCAATGTGCTGTTTTACCATATGTATATATTTTTGTGAACTTGTCCTGTAATTGAACTGTTTACAAATGACAATTGAACATAACACAGTCCTGAGTTCCCTTTCAGAGTCACTTATTGTTAACTTGGGATTGTCAGATTATAACAAAAAAATATGCCCATTTTTGGTCACCATTGAGTTATTTATTTCTTTAAGCACAATGAAATGTTAAACAATGCCCAGTTTTTTAATAATTATATGCTTTAGTTCAGGGCTGCACAGTGGGGCAGTGGGTAACACTGGTGTCTTGTAGCAAGAAGGTTTCAGGTTTGATTCCTGGCCTGGTGTCTTTCTACATGGAGTTTGCATGTTTTCAATGCGCATACATGGGTTCTCTCCGGGTACTCTGGCTTCCTCCCACAGTCCAAAAACATGACTGTTAGGTTAACTGGCTTCTCTAAATTCTCCTTAGTTGTGTGTGCGTGAATGGGGTGTATCCCTCCTCTCACCCATTCACTGCTGGAGAGAGGCCCCATCCCGCCCGGTGATCCCAAGAGGGATTGGATGGATGGATGGATGGATGGATGGATGGATGGATGGATGGATGGATGGATGGATGGATGGATGGATGGATGGATGGATGGATGGATGGATGGATGGATGGATGGAAGGAAGGAAAAGGCACTCTGGAGTGCACATAGTGGCCATATTAATATGCCAGGGCAGTGTGCTCTCTTAAATAAACTGATGAAATTGAAAGTTTCATGCATGGGCGTAGGTTTGCATAGGGACCATAGGGACATGTCCCTACCAAAATTTTGAACCGACCTAATTGTCCCTACCAATAATTGGATTTGAGCAACATGTTTATAATTTACAGCAGTAGTTATTGCAGCAGTGGCTTCTTTTCCTCTCGCAGTTCCTCTGCCTGGTCTCTCCTGTCCCTTTCACGTAGCAGCGCATGGAACTGTGCTGCGCTGTTTAACTCCACTCTCATTGGTTGTTCTGCCTTCTCTCTCCTTGAACTAGTCCCAATAAAAAAAAAGGAATATCATGTGCACTAAAAAACAAAAACCTTTTTTTTTCTTTTTTAAAACGAAATATTCTGAGTCAACCAGGAGTTCTGAAGACTGCTGGAAAAATGGGCAAATAAAGGCTGTAAGCCATCAACATTTCTGATTCTTAGCCACAGCCAATTAAGAAAGAAAATGTGAGGGTTTCCTTTTTACCGATATTTAGTTGCTATTACTGTTGTCATTTTTTGATGACTCTTTCAGGTATAATTATTAGGAGGTGTTACATGTATTTCTTTTATAGAGTAGCCTATAACAACAAGAAATGGTGCCTAAACATCTGCTATTTTTTGTTTAAAAAGCATAATTAGGGTTCCACATAATAATAATAATTTAATTGACTATTTATACTTCTAGAAATAGGATAAAGACAAGAACAAACAGAGGAAGAATATTAACATTGATTTTATCTTACATAGATTTCCACATAGTCTATAAGTAAATTAGTACAAACATTAATGTCTGGTAAAAATGCTGGAATCTGACTGTTTATTTTGGATATTATTATATTACAGATAAGATAGTGTTATATTGTCTTTTATAATTGTTAAAAGTGATTTTATATTTTAATACACTTAGGCTCATGCTCAGTGTTGTGTATGCAATATAGGAAAATGATAAAAGGTTGTGTTACATTTAATCCTTTACTATTAAAAATGCACTTATACATTATATGATTATAGGAAACACAGATATCCAGTAATAATGATGCAGGGCAGCTTGTAGGTGAAGCAGCTGGCCCTTAAGCGCTTCAGGTGATGTCTAAATAAACCAGGTGATACTAAAATCTTTCCTCTTGATGAGTTCTGGATGAAGAATATTGACAGACAAAAACATTTTTTTTATCTTACCGGTATATATTATATATATATGTTGTATTTTTAAAATTTTGGTATAATTACTGATCTAAGTGGGTTGCTCTGTCGGAGAAAGGCATATTTTACATTTTTATTATGTTTTAGAGTCTCTATTCTCCAGTTAATGATTAATCACATACTAAATTAGTTGACGATTATTGAAATAATCAATTAATACGATTCATTTTTTCAGTCCCAGATAAAATACATGAAATGGGCTACACAGAGTAACTACAGCCCAGATGTTCCACTTTTATAGTGAAGTTAATATTTTAATGAATGTATTATTTTGCTTGATACAGAGAGAGCATAGTAGGTAAAAATATAAGAATGGGGTTTAACTCTGCACAATTCTATATCTTCAGAAGAAAATACTGTATTTACCTTCTCTCTTAGTCGTTCAAATGAAACCATTTTCAAAGTGGACAACAGTCCTAATTCCACATTGATCAGAGCCGGTGATACTTCAAACATTAATAAACAGCATCTAATGAGTGTAGTGCTTATACAATTTTTATTAATGTAGCAAAATGATGCTTTTCTGTTTTAACAATGAATACCTCTTATCAGTACGGATCCTCACACCGTGCATAAAAAAGGACATGCATATTAGGGTTGTCAAAAGTATTGATACTCAAAAAAGTAGCGATACTGAAACGTTGTATCCGGATACAATACTCATTTTCAAAAGTATCGATACAGCCATCTAAAGTGCAGAATAGTGGAAAATGCACTTTCTGAACACTGTGTGATTGAATAATTCTGTGCATTTTTCAGTTTCAGACTTTTTTTGTAACAGGTGCAGCTGCTGAGAATTATTTTTGTTTAACTGGTTTGGCCAGTGTCATTGTTATGTCTGCAAAACATAGCCAAGGAAGGAACACTTAATTTTAATTTTGTAAGTTTTTTTTATCAAGCTTGCTTAATATTGTGCACAGCATACAACCTCAAAATATTATACTTATTGTTTTTTTTTTTTTTTTCTTGTATTTTTTTTAGTAATGAAAATATTTCTGTTGAATTTTAGAGTTTTTGTTTTTATTCTTGTGGTATCGAAAAGGATATCGAGTATCGAATATTTTACTTAGTATCGGTATCGAGTTGAAAAGTTTAGTATCGTGACAACACTAATGCATATTGCATAGCACCAATGACAACCGACTGATAGTGTCCCTACCAAAGTTCAAATCAAACCTACGCCCTTGGTTTCATGTATATAGCTACAACACAGTAAAAAAAATGAAATTTTAGTAAATATTACTTAGCATAAGTGCATTTTTTTCCTGAATTGAGCAGGTAAGGGAGACACTTTGCAAATGAAAAGAGACTATTTATATTTAAAAGAAGAAGAAACAGCTGCGGTCTCTTACATCAAGTTCTTAATATTTAATAATTTTATTGTAAGTGTAAAAATATTAATTCCATCGGCGGATGGAATGAGCTCAAATTGAGGGTAAATACATTTATTGATGTGATGTTGAAGTGTTATAAAAAAAGAGTTTGATACCACATGGTGAGGATGGATGCTGAGGTCAGGAGCCATGAAGGCAAGGGATGGAGTCTGAAAATAGCAGTTTTTGTCATTTCTAAATAGAAATTATTCCTTTCAGAAAGCAGGGGGAATCAGCCAGTGCTGTACCACACCTCAGGTGTGTTTTTGTGAGATCCGTCATGCTTTGTCCACCTTCACAATAAAGATATGCTGATTTGGATATTTTATACATGCATTTTTTCAGAAACACAAAAGGAAAACAACCCTTAAGCTTGATTAAACACAATTTGTTGATTCATGAAAACCCCAAAATGAATACCAACCTTATTTTCCATGAAGTTAGAGTGAAGGTCTGAGGTCGTACTAATTTGTTGATTTCTGTTCTCTGACATTCAGGACTGATGCTCTGCTGGTCAAGCTGTCACTGTTAGTGGGTCAGCAGGTCTTCTTCGGTGCCCTGTGGGGCAGCGTGCTGATTACCCCAATGGTGCGGCTGCCCGCTTCTGTCTTCGTAGTCACACATTTTGACCGTATGGCCCCACTGACTCAGCAGGCCCACATGTTAGGCTACGGCCACCGTGCAGTGGTGAGTTTTTGTGTTTCTCTTCCATCATGGATGCTCTGGATTGCATCAAAACATAATTAACAAATTTTTTCTTTGCTTATGACTTATTGGCTTATTTTTTCTCTCTTTGTGCTTCCAGATAAAATCAGTCTGTCTTTCTCTGCAAGATTCAAATGTGTTGGTGCAGAGGAACATGCTTGAAGTCCTCCTCTACTTTTTCCCATTTGCTACATGTCTGGTAGGTTAGATTGTTGATTATCCATGTTAAGTCTTACTCTATCATCTCTCTGCTTTTACACAAGTAAATATTAGTTATTGTCAATCTTAGTTTTATTTAAATAGCACATTTAACACTACACAAAGGGGACCAAAGTGCTTCCCAGTGAGATTATTGCAGTTAAGTGTGACGTAAACAAACAAACGCAATCAGGTCTCCATAAATACCTCCATTACAATACAAAATAGATAAAGGAAAGCTACCAGGGCTGTCAAAAATACTGATAATCTGAAAAATATCATTACTCAAAATGCTCAGATTCAATACTAATTTAGAAAGCATGCTCTACATTGAGCTTAAAAAAGGGGATTTTGAAGTTAATACAAATATTTTTCATGCATTTAATTTGACATTATTTTATCATCATGGTTGGAAAATGGAATCGAGTATAGAAGATATTTCTGGGTGTTGATATTGATTTTTACATTTTTATATTGTGTCAACCCTAAAAGCTACACACTACTATAAGATTTTGGTTTAGCTTCCTTTCATCACAATGGATTCCCTGTTATTAATTACCTACATTATAACCAGAGGGAGTAATCTAATTATTAACAAGTCTACACAGAGAGTTACAAATAAATAGCAAATTAGTTGCATATTTCCTGTAAATGTCTGTCAGATCTACTATCAATGGTGGGTGTGGCTTTATTTTATCTTGCTCTCCTGGTCTATCCTGGACAATGGAATTAAGATCTTTAATGATTGTAGATTTGAGGCTTTTTATAGCAAAGAGAGGATAACAATCAAATCAAATCAAATTTATTTGTATAGCCCTTTACAATAGCCAAATGGTACCCAAAGTGCTTTACAACAAAGCCATAAAAACAATACATAACACATATAAAACATACAAGATACAGTTAAAAGTGCTGTAGTGGTGCAGTGCTGCAGGACATTAAAAGGCTTCCAGAGGTGCATAGAAAGGAGCACACAGAAAGATGACATCTAACAGACAGTATTATTCTAGTCAGAATTAAAAGCTAATTTAAAAAAAGTGAGTTTTAAGCAAATTATTTCTTAATTTTTTAATTTTCAATTTTGCTATTCCAGCCTAATTTTGATAAGCATCTAATATTGTTTTTAACTTTTTTTTCCTCACCAGAGAGGTCACTTTTTTCTCCTTGAATGGCAAATGCTTTTTTATTTTATTTTATTTACTGACCTACATCTGTAAGGCCCATGTCACACCTTGCTGATTTGCCCAGCGTATGCCTAAAGTCCCAGAATCTCCTGAAACGCTGGCATACGCTGAACTTCCTATGTGTTTTTTCAGTTTTGGGCATATACATAGCGTATTCATAACGAGTACAGAACTTACGTTCAACAACAGCCTAACTTATGCATAACACACGGCAGGGTAATGCCCAAGAAATGTCACAAGTCAGTGTCCTGTGATGCGCATGGAGGCGCCCGGCCTGCATAAAAAGATGTCTATAATCGCGTAATTATCCTAGCTACTGTTTACTGCCTGCCAAATAAAAAAGAAAAAGAAAAAAAAAGGTTTGCAGTCACAGCAGATTCAGCATCATGTCTGCGAGGAAGTGTGTTGGTTGTTGGCGTGGATGCAGTGAGGATCCATCACACTCACTTTCTCGCTCACCCTGTGATGCAGATGCAGTCTGGAGGAGTACTAACGGTTTCCTCCTGTGAACCCTCTTTTAAAATGCTGATTAAACTTTTTAAAAAATCCTTAAATGAAGTGATCCTCTTCTGTATGTTGTTGGTTTAGGACCCAGCAGAGCCCAGCATCGCTCTCAGTGATGAAGACATGATCACTGTGGTGTCTGCAGCCTCCCTCACTCTGCTCAGAAGGGACATGTCCCTCAACAGACGCCTCTACGCCTGGCTCCTAGGTGCTTATAATTAGGACACTAATTAATACTCTACCACATGCTTTTATCTAGGAGGAAAACCTTTTGTTTCCTTTTGCTGAAATTTGTCTTTCTGGGGTTCTGTCTTTCAGGCACAGACATTAAAGGAGGGATGGTGGCACCACATCCCACTCTCTCCACCACCATGGAGGAGCACACCACATTCTACTTCAACACTTTTTCCAAAGATTATCTCGTGAAGGTAGCAATTTATTTACTTCATTTTTTTTTTCTTTAGAAAGGTAAAAATAGTATTCAAATTGTACTTTGTTCTGTCATTTATTAGCCTGACGTAGTCAGACTCAATTCTAGTCAGAATATGAGTCTGATACTGCTCCATAGAGCTGTGATTATGGGGCGTGTTTTGAACGGACCAGGAAAAAAAATGCCTCTGTACTCAATTGGATAGACCTACAACCAATAAGAGCAACGGAATGCGTGACGTATGTTAAGCCAGGCATAGTTGTTGTCAACAAAAATCAAAGCGTGCAGTTGCGCGCCTAGAATAAGAAGATGAGCCGTGATCGCGTTTCTCTTTTCCTCTTTTAAAATTAATATGCTGTTGATATCTTCTAGAACAGACCTAATAGCAGAATCTACTCACCTCATCTCTCCAGCGGCAGCCATTATTGTTGTCACCCATGCGCGCTTTGGTCACGTGGTTGATTACGTTACTGTTGATCATCTGTCCATCATCGTATAAAGCCCGCCCTGACAATTTGATTGGATCGCCAGAGGGTGGGCGATCATACTCGCGCTACTATGGAGCAGAGCCAGACCGAACTTCCCGACCTCAAACCTTGTGGGCGGGACTAAGTTCGGAATGGCACCCAGGCTAGTCATTTATAAGTCGTATAAACTAAATGTATGGCTGGATTTGCTAAGAATGAACAAGCAAAAAACATTGGAACAAGCTCTGCTCTAAATAGACTAAAACACATTTTCTAAACGGATTTGATATGTTAAAATAGGTCAGACCTTTAAAAGGATATTCCATCTAAATAAATATTTAACCCTCTCATGCATAAATTATGAGTATTGTAGATCCTTAGGAATGTATAACGGTATGAAAAAAATAAACATCTTTGTTCTATAAAGAAATCTTTATCTGTCCACTCAAGTGTACTTTATGCATTTTATACTGTAAAAAAAATCAATATACTAACAAAGTAGTTGCGGTTTTACAGTTGTATTAAGGTATTCTGTTAGAATGCTGGTTCCTCTACTCCTCTATAAAAAAACAAAATAGCCGAGGTGTTCGGTCTTTTTCCCTGTGTGTCAGCTATATGGGTTTCACTGACATACATGAATTTTTTGGGACGTTTTTCTGCAGGCTCTGATTAACATCCTCAGACAGAAGGAAGTGGACAGTGACCCAGAAAGCGTCATCTCCTACCTCAGACCCTTTCGCATCATCATCTTTCTTTTGGATAAACCTGAGATAGGTGGGGAAAGCTGGACAGATGGAGCCTTTAGATGCTGGATTGTTTATAGACTGTTCAGTAATATGTTTTATTTTACCTGTTCAGGTCCTGCTGTGTTGGGCTGTGTAATGCTGGAGGTGGTCAGAGCTTTCCACAGATACTGTCTGGAGATGCTTGGAGAGGAAAACGGGATAAAGTCTGGACATTCAGCAAACCAGCTCGCTTGGTAAGACAAACAATCTCTGAAATTAAAAGATTTCTTTTTGCACAAACTGATAGGACTGCTATTTGTTGTTGAATTGTTGAAAAAAAAAACAGATTTTCTTTCTCTTCGTTTTAACAGTAAAGTAAAAGAGAACAAGAATGCATCAGAGATCATAAAAACGGTGAACATGCTTGTGAGCTCCTTGGACAGTGAATACCTCTGGGAATACATGACTCGATGCTTTTGCACGTCTCTCAGGTTTGTCAATCTCACCAAATCTTTCTTTCGATAGTAATTCGTTACCATAGAAACAGATGGAACACAGGGAAACAAACTGTGAAGTTTTCTATTGTGATAGAAACTGATAGAAATAAATCAGTCAAATTTAAAAGAGCAAAAAAGTTATAGTTTTTGGATGATATTTTAGGCTCTGTATTCAAGTGAATTGAAATGCGCTGACATCACGTTTCTAAAATACCAGACAGACGTTTATGCATCACAGCTATTTTACCCATTATTATTTTTAAATAACAAGCTGTGAACTGTTTATATCCGTATAATATAGTTATTGTTGAATTGTTATATGGTAAACGAATTTTGTTTAATTCACCAACTCACAAAATGCATCATCTTAAGCTGATTTAAAAAAACACTTCAAACCAATTATACAGACAAGTTTGCAGTCAATTACAGCTAAACAGTTTTAAGATAACACTTCCCACAGAGTCAGTTGCATCTGTATGGACAGTCTACACCAAAAGTAAGAAAAACAAAATAAAAAAGTTGAAAGAAAATACTAATGTTCAAGTTGATATGCAAATAGATCCATCATATCAAACTACTTTAAGAGATTTCGTATGTGCTGAATTGCATTTGATTGTTTTTGAGGAGTTTTCTTCCTTAAGTTTAAAAGTAATATATATATATATATATATATATATATATATATATATATATTTTTTTTTTTTTTTTTTACTTATAGGCCACGCTTACTTAATTGATTTAATCCAATTTAAAAATTCAAAAAAATACTTAATTGATCCAACGGCTAATTAAATTATTTTGCAGCTCATATAATGCAGTATCATGCATATTATGCAGGAAGGATCCTATGTTGCTGTCAGTCTTACAGCAGCTCTTAAGAAGCCTGTGACTGAAGACGCTCTGTTGTTGCACCACAGTCTGAAGAAGAGGAAGCTCTAAAGACAGACGCATGGCCATCAGAAACCGATTTTGAATTGTTCAACTGAATCTGTATTCATGCAAATTAGAAATAAAATGCAGTATTGTGACTGAATTAATTGCCCTAAATTGAAACTGAATTAATTTACAATGAAAATATTTTGCTGTGTTGAAAATCTCGTTACCCAATTTTTACTTTTAGTTTTGTAATTTAATTTAATTTTTTAAAATGTACTTTCTTTTCGCCAGGCAAGCAGATGTTTTAGTCGCAGAGAAATAAAACACAGATTCATAGTTTGAAATTTCACAGCAGTTTAAATTTACTTTATTGGAATTTATACATGAGCGCCATGTCAAACTATTTTATAAGAAACCATTTATAACAAAACCTCATCTAACTATAGGTTGACTGTAGCTAAAAATACAAAATTAGCATAGCATGCTGTCGATCCTGTGTTTTCTCCACCAATGTGTTTGACATGGAGAATGATATTGTTATAAACTTTATCACGCTCATGTCTGCTCCTCTGCTTCTTCTCAAAATGTGGTAAATATGAATTTAACCTGAGGTGATCGTAGGCATCTCCTCTCCAAACCGCTTCATTTCCATGGCAACGTTGACAAATTACAAGTTTCAGCTATTTGCCAACGTGTCTTGCATTAGATTTTTTTTTATGAATATCTAACTTCTTTTGATGAGAACATAGATCACTTAGGATAAACTCCTAAACTTTGCATTTCATCATTATTTCATGTTATTTTCATGACCCATTGTTTTAATCAGGCTTTAAAAATCTCCATCTTTTTGCTGAAAACTTAAACTCACCAAAATATTCAGAATCATTAATAATCTTAATTTTTAGTTATATTGGCATTTACTGTCATTATCCAAATGTATTTGAACATGATTCATACTCATTACTAAATCCTCAACACTTTTTTTTCATCCTGAATGCGAAATATAGATTTTTTTTGTTTTTGGTATGATTACTGCTTGTTCTGGCAGCTAAATTCTTGTTTCAGAGTCTCTATACTCCAGTTAACAATTAATCGATTATTAAATTAATTGAGAGTTACTATACTATTACAATAATCGATTAATCCAATTAATTGTTTCAGTCCTAATTTATACAACAACTGGCCTTTTCAGAGGTAAAGTGGCTCTATTGAAAAATGAGTTTTTCTGGCATTTATAGCATTTATGTTAGCATGTGGTTTCTGCTTTCAAATGACAGAACATTGATGTGACATTTATCAAAGTCGTATTTATGTTTTTATTTCAGTGACAAAGGTGATCCACCGATGCCAGTGGAGCAGAAGTACTGTCAGCCTGCTCCCTCCGTCACAGAAATGTCGAACCTCATCATGTTCCTGCTGGATGTTCTCCCTCTGGTAATTAACAAAAAGACTCTTTGAAAATCAAAGACAGAATTCATGCAAAACTTAGTTTAGCTTAGTTCTTCTCTAAAGCAAAAAATAGTTAACCCCTCTATAGAAATGTCTCAAAGAGTCGCATGTCTGTGTTTTTCCACAGGAACTCTACGCCGACATTCAGTCCATTTTCCTCCCCGAAATGCTTTGCACCATGCTGCAAAGCCTACACCGCCACATGGACTCCATTTCCCCTGATGACATCACACAGGGGCTGCGAGCGTGCTTCAAGGTCCTGAGTAAGATCCAGATGCCTGTGGCTTACATGGATGGTGATGCAGGAAGCCACACAGACAAGGTGGAGTCAACGCCACCAGACGAGGAAATTCCAAAGGTGAGGAGGGGATTTAGTCTGTGCCAGTGTAGATTGCTTTAAATGCTTATAAAATGCTCCTTACTTAGGATCTACGCAGCGAGGGGGAGAAAAATGGAAGCGTTAATGGACATCAGGAAGGGGAGGAGCTGAGCCAAGATGGAGGAGGTGAAGCGGAGCCTGCAACCAGTGTTTACTCAGCACTGAGGTCTGAAGACAGTGGATTGGGCATCAGCGCTTCACCTTCAGAGCAGCAACTGCAGCTGGGCGGAACCACGGAGCACAACGGAACAAGCAAAACCAGTGATGGAGTGTGGAGAAGGGGAGGGAACGTAGAAGCCATGACCCAGTGTCTGCAGGATATCCTGGCTTTCATAACTACAAGGTAAACTTCAGGGCAGGATGAAAGTTTTCAGCTTTAACTGGCCTTTTTAAACTTTTGTACTACTTGACTTGAATTTCAGGTACTTGATGGTACAGGTGGAGGATGTTAGAGGTCCGGATCCAGAGCCTCAGCTCGACCAAGTCGTCAACTCCGTGGATCATAAGTCTTTGTTAGGAGGACGAGAGATTAAACACAAACTGACTGAGCTGTTTACTCCGAATAAACTCAAAGCCCGCGTCTCTTCAGAGCTCCTGCTCCCAGTTTCCCCCACGGAAAAGAAAAAGGAGCCTTGCTCTGCAGAGTGTAAGGACTGGGCAGCTGGTTACATGCCCAGAGGAAGAGCTGAGATCTCTGAGGCATGCAGACAGACCTTCATCGCCACCTGCAACCTGCTGCTGGAGAGCACCACCTTCCCCGTCTACCTGACCGAAAAAGAGATGCTCGTGCTTCACACGGATATGTTCGGACACTCAGGTCAGCACGGGGATATGGGCACTTCCAAATCCAAATTTTTTTTTTTCCCTTTTAGCTTCATAATTAAAAAAGACAAACGATAGAAATTACATTTAAAACTATCTTTTATTTCAAACATCCCATCTGAGAGAATCTGAAATAAGGTGCAGCTAAATCTAACCTGTGAAGCCTGCTTTTAAAACAATGCAACTGTTATCCCTGCGAACTGTGGAAGCCCAAGAAATGCATTTGTGACAAAAAAAAGTCAAATTTTCTACATTTTCTTTTAGCTGTTTGTCTCACTTAGTCTTTTACAAGTTGGTCAAAACTTTATATTTTGCCCTGATCTGAACAGTAGCTGCAGGACATAAGATGAACTATGTGATAGAGACTGGTTCCTATTGCCAAAATGATTGATATATATTTACACTTTCCCAAACCTTTAGCAGCTCTGTGACCTTCAGCATTTGCAGCTTTCACAGCTAATCTCTATATACACTGACAGAGAGCACACAGTGGCATTTTTTAATAGGCTGAATCTTGATGTGGTTTGTTGCACTTATTTTATTAAAGGCATAGAGAAATAGAGAAAAATCACATTTCTCACATTAGAAAATTACTTAGGAAGCTCTGCATCCATTAGTTACACCCCATAGTTCTGCACTTCTTGTTGGTCTGCCATATAATATTCCAAACAAAAACACGCTAAAGGTTGTTTGTGCATATGACTGAAATGTGCAAAGCATTAAAAACTGCAAGTAAGAACACTTTTGTACATTCTTGTTAATCAACAATACCTGGAAATGTTTTTATCCACAAATAAATGTTCTGTTTTTATTTTTTCCCCTTTATTACAGGCAGTGACATGGACAGCTTACCAGTGTGGCTGAGGTCCCTGATGATTTTGTGCTGCATGTCCAGGGACCACAACATTCAGCACACAGCATTGGCCTCCCTGCTGGAGCTCATCAACCACTCCCAGTCCTTAGCACTGGTCATTCAGGACAAGCACAGGCGCTACCAAAGCTCTGATACCAACCCCCTGAGTGGGCGGCTGCAGATGGTCAGCGTGCCGCCCATCTATCCCGTCCAGATACGAGCCTTAGAGGAAAGCACAGACTTCTTCCAGGTAGGATCATCAGGAAGGGAGCTATAGGAGTGACTAAAACTGTTTGCTGAACCTCCTGTTTAAAACGTGTGTTTGGCTTTGTTAGAGGTTGTCCCGGGTTCTGTGGAGTCAACTGGACACAGAGCAGAGAGAGCAGCATGTTTCCTGTGTGGATCTGTTTTACCGGCTGCATTGTTTGGCTCCTTCAGCGTCCGTCTGTGAGGACATCATCTGCCAGGCGCTGTTGCATAAAGACAAGGTTCACTCTGAATATCATTTATGGTTAGATGGGAGGATGAAGCTAACAGGGAACAGTGTGAAAACATGATCAGGAAAACCAAAGGTCTGCTTGCTTTTTGATTCCCAGGCAGTTCGGCTGGAAGCTCTGCACCGCTTCACTGTGCTGTGGCACCTGACCAGGGAGATTCAGGGCAACAGGAACATGTCTCTAAGTCGATCCTTTGACCGGTCAGTTTTTCCTGGAGTAATTTTTGCTGATTTAGAAGTGAATAGAAATTCATTTGTGTACGATAATTTGTCAGAAATTGTTGAATTATTTTTTTCTGGGCTGCTAATGTAAAAATCATTGAGTTTTTTAATGTCTGAGAAGGCTTTGGTTTCCTTTTTGTCTACACTGCTGTTTCAGATTTTTCTAAGCCGCTTTTAGACGTCATAATTGGTAAACTTTGTTTTTAAATCAACAAATAAATATGGTCACTGCACTGCCAAGTAGAGGCTGCTTGATCGATGCTTCTGTAGTTACAGCTGTGACATACAGAGGTTACAGAAGTACGTTTAGCTCTAAGCTGAACTTTGCCCTGAAAAAAGGCAACAAAAAAACCCTTTCACTTTATAGTTTACAATAAACCAATCATAGTTTACCTGTAGAATGACCCTGCAGAAATCCAACCTTTATCATTTTTATTGGGATTTTTTTTTTGATGACCAACACAAAGAAAAGCCTTTTTTCTTTTAAATGAAATTATAATTAAGATGGCTTAGGAAAAAATTATTAAATTGTCTTTAACATCCTCCCCTTCTCTTGTTGATTACTACAATTGGTTGATTTTTTTTTTAGAAGTATATGTATCAGATCACTGGAAAAAAACGAAATCTAGATCAGTCATTTTTTCTTAGAATAAGTGCATTTCTTCTTGAGGAGGTAAAGGAGACACTTTGCCAATGGAACAATTTACATAAAAAATAAGGAAACACAACTGCATACTCATTACATTGGAAAAATCCTCTCATTTACCTACTCACATTAAAGCTGCAGTCTGTTACATTGAGAAGAGTGCAGACTTCGACTGAACATTTGAAGAAAAACAGGTTTCACTCCACTCCCCCACCCTCTCTGCTTCACTCATGCCCCACCTCCAAGCTCCACCCCTCTCACCGCATGCGACCAGGGGGGGGGGGGGGGCGGGATTCAGCGTCTGTGAGCTGTGATTGACACTCCATCAGACGCTCCTCTGGCTGTGATTGGTTGTTTTGACTCGCCCCGAATTATTCGTTCCAGATTGAAATACAGGCAGTAGGCGGGACCAATTGAAGCAGTTTTTTTCACAGGTTACATATCACATGTACTGCTGTCTGGGCATAGGGACAGTTTTAGCCAATATGAAAAAAAAGTGATTTTTAAAAACTTACAGACTTCAGCTTTAAGGGTAAATACACTTAATTTAAGAAATTTTTACTTATTTCTAGATAATTTTTCCAGTGATCAATAGGCAGCTTGGAGTTAACTGCTTTGCCCAAGGACACATTGCGAGGCGTTGGGGGAACTTGCAACCTTCAGAAGGCAAGGCGCCTTGTTATCGCATCAAGCTTCCGATGTGAGGAAGCTTGTAGGGACAAACCTTTTAATTATAGACGGTTCCACCAGGATGTCTGAATTCACACACATAAAACATTTTTTATATTTGTTTGTGCTTTTTTCAGCCAGTTGAGAAGATGTAGTTTATTTAGATAGTTTTTCTGTTTTCTTATCTTTGTCTGTGGTGTTTCAGGTCTCTGTGTGTGGTGGTGGACAGCCTGACCTCTACAGATGGGTCGATAAGCGCGGCGGCTCAGTGCTGGCTGGTTAGAGCTCTGTCCCTGAATGACGTGATCCGAATCCTGGAGCCCATTCTGTTGCTGCTGCTCCACCCGTCCACCCAGCGCTGCTCCATCCAGAGCGTTAAACAGAATTTCAGCGCCGGTAACCAAACTACTCTATGCTTTGTTACTGTTGCTGGTATTCAGAGTTGTGGTTTTTTAAAACTTGATGTGCTTTTTTGTTTCCAAGGTAACCTGAAGCTTTTAAACAGTAGAAGTTCGGCCAAAACTTCTAGGGCGTCTTCAGATGCAGCGGCAGCCGATGTGACGACATTAAGCAGCCTGAATGTTGTGGACCGAGAAGCTCTGTGGGCTGAGTTGGAGAATGGACCAGAGCCAGAAAAGCCCACTGAGACTTTAGCAGCCTCAAGGAGTGAGAGTGAGAAGACGGAGGAAGATGAGGTTAAAGAGGAAGAGGAAGAGGAGGAAGCTGAAAGTGAGCATACTGAGTCGGCAGACACAAGTGGGGCTCAAGTTTCCACAGAGAACTCCAGTTCAGGTTCTGCTCCACCTAGCAGCACTGAGGACGGGGGTTTGGTGAACGGTCTGCGCAGGGTAGAGTCTGAGCGCACACAGGCGTCTGATTCCCTTTCGAGTGAGGATGAGGAGGATTTAGAGCTGGAGGCCATGGCCAGGTCTCGCCTGTTAAAGCAGGAAGGTGAGAAGAGAGAAGCCATCAATTCTCTCTTCCGCCATGTGCTGCTGTACCCCGTGGCAGGCGGGTGGCGCCGCCTCCTCCAGGGACTGGCGCTGCTAGACAGCCTGCTAAGGAGCAGCCCTGAGTGCCACCTGGTGGACGCATTGTGCTGTACGTCACTGGACACGAGCTCTGCTGCACATTTAAACCTGGTCTCAAACCTGCTGCAGCGCCACCAGCAGGCTCAGGATGGCAAGTGTTTCTACGGCTGCCTGCTCTCTCCAGCCTCCTCCCCCTCCGTCCCTCCCTCTCTACTCATCGAACTGCTGGTGTCACTCTGCCTGCGGATTCTTCGCTCTCACTACCCGTCCTATTTGAGCCTGACTCCTCTGGACCTGCAGGGCAACAGGGAGGTCCAGGTGAAGAGCGTGACGGTGCTGACTCGGATCGTGAACCAGCTCTCCTTCATGGTGCGAGGACAGGAATGCAGCAAAGCCACTCTGGATTCAATCCAAAAACTGCTCACATGCTGCAAAGTGCAGCAATACGCCCTGTTTTCCCTTTCTGCGTCCATGTACATCAGCCAGAAGGCAGCAGACAAGGCTTCATCCAAAGGAGCTGAGCTGCTAGATGAGCAAGGAGGCCTGTCAGAGGAAAGTCTTCTCAATCTGGGTGCAGGAGGGGCGCAGGAGCAGTACCCCTTACAAATAGAGTTACTAAAATTGCTCCAGGCTCTCATAGTGCTAGAATACCATGTGTGGCCAGGTGGGGTTGCAGCCGCAGTAGGCGGAGCTTCTGGCCAGCCAGGAGATCTGCGTGAATCTGCAACAGCTTCCACCCCTCTGGCCCGCGAGTGGCAAACCGCCGTCCTCTTCCAGCAGTCCATCAAAGCAGCCCAGTACGTCCAGAGCCACCCCATCACAGCTCAGGGCATGTTTGTCTCTTCAGCAGCAAGAGCCCTGCAGCCTCAGTACGGCTACGCCATGCACCCCCATTGGGTGTCGCTGCTTTGCTCCTCTCTGCCGTACCTGGGACGCTCTTTAGGGATCATCGTCTCCCCGCTCATCAGTCAGATCTGCAAGAACATGGATGAGCTGGTGAAGCTCCACGAGCATGACGGAGGGAGGACCAATCACAGGTAGATAAATTCAATATAAATAGACTTGATCAATGTGTAAACTGTGGAAATGAAAAAAGGCTGTGAGGAATCTTTTTCTGCTAAATTTGGAAGAATTGGTGATGATCCGATTGGATCAATGCTAACCGCACGGCTGATTTATTGGCCTAGAATCCAACCTTCATGGACAGGGATGGAGACATCATGATCATATGGAAACACAATTATTAGACATGCTTGATGACTTCTGATTCATTGTAAAAACCTCATTCAGATTGGTAGATTAGGTAATATTAGGTAATATGAGGGTCAAAAAATGCTACTTCTCGCTGACTTACTGGTAGAGTTTAATCAGCTTCACCAAGCCATCAAACCCACTGAGAAATGGTCAGAGATGTTCTGCTGGAAACATTTCATTACAGGACTAGTTGTATTATTGGATTAATCCAATGATAACTGAATTAATTTTTCTACAAAAACATCCATGAACTTTGTTATAGAAACTCTTAAAGGTTAAGTGGAGGATTTTCCCTAATTTTTTAAAAGACCCGCCCCTCCCATGCACCACCCTGTACCTGCTCCCTAGAGGGAACATCTATTAAACGGGTGCAAGAGCGTGCACAAGCTCATTTCTCCTCATGCACGCTCTGTTTAAAAGTTGCTCTTTGCATCGCTCATACAAGCTTACTTTCCAAAAGAAGATTTGCACATTTTCCACTTTTACAACCCTCTGCCATTCTCAAAGACCCCCGATGAAAAAGGTGAGCTTGACTGACTGAAACCATAGCTCACCACACAAATACACCTGAAAGTACACATGCGCAGAAAAAGATAGCTACATGGGGACGAGCACGTAGGATGGCCTTATGTAAACATATCACCAGAATGATTGCCAATTAGGAGCATCACTTATTTTGATGATCCACCTGGAAAAAGAACATCCTCCCCACATTTAAGGTTAAAGGATGTATTTAGTTTGTATATTGGGGATTTCTTGAAAATTGAAAAGGTGTCAAAACTAAGTTTGGGAGGAAAAACAATACAAAACAAGGTGAATAAATTTGAATATATTTCGGGAGACCATAAAGGTATATTTGAAAATGTATTTAGCTTCCAGGTTCTTTTTCAAAATAAAGAATAGGTTTTTCATTAACAAATCTGAGGGTTGTTTTTTTTATGGTTTTTTTTTAAACCAAAGCACACATTGAAGCAGCTGTTGAACTTATTAAGAATCTACTTAAATTTGCTCTGACTAATGCTTTTATTTTGGTGTGTCAGCATTACCAGCAGGAGGGAGAACATCGCCCCTGACTACCCTTTGACTCTGCTGGAAGGCCTGACCACCATCACACATTACTGTCTCCTCGACAACAAAAAGGTAAGGCTTTATTACGCTCTCATACAGCTAAGACGTGCTAATCTGATCTACTATCCTTTAATGTCAGTTATCTTTTCTTTAACTGTATTTCCTCTCTGTCAGTCTCTGGTTGCATGTGATCCTGTGGACGTCCGTAACGCACGCAATGCTGTGCTGGAGGCGCTGCCGCACATGCTCAGCTGCATGGCGCTGCTGTGGGGCGTGGTCTATAGGGAGGAGATACAGAAGCGTGCCTCTGACTCCGGCCACAGCAGCAAACATGCTTCTACTTCTGTGTACTTCAAAAGCTCCAAGGTGTGTAGGTGTATGTTGTTGGACCGTGTTTTAAGACTAATTTGTTTTGTTGCACCTACTGTTAAGGAGAATTCAATAAATGTGTGTTATTAGGTTTTGAGGCAGCGGATTCTGCAGTTTCTGTTCCCTTTAACGGGACATTATGGAGTTCAGCTGATGGCTTCGGTGGGAGTAGTTTGGAGTAACAGAAAAGGCAAAAGGAGACATAAAAACCAAGTAAGAACCACACCGTGTTGGAAAGTAAAATTATATATCTTGAGCTGAATTTTATTTTTTTTTTTCTGGGGCTTTCTCTTGTCTTTATCTTTGTTTTTTGTTTTGTTTTTTAGGTTTTACCTGTGCCCAGTGAGGCTCGTCTGATCATTGTGGAGCTCATAAAATCACTGCACACCCTGAATACAGAAACTGTCCTCCACCTGGTCAAAGAGGTTGTGAAAAGACCACATCAGATCAAAGGAGACCAGGTATGTAAAAAGAATCTGATAAAGATTTAAAAGGCTTTTACTGCGAATTATTTTTAACTCAGGTGTTCTACTTTTCCTTCCATCAGAAAGCAACGCTGGTTGATATTCCCATGTTACAGTTCAGCTATGCTTACATCCAAAGGTGAGGATGCATGTCAGTCTGTTGTTATTCTCTTTTTGTTCATTTTTAACCGAACTGTGCTTCTGTTTGTAGCATTCCAGCTCAGGCTCTACAGGAAAACGTTGGTCCTCTCCTCAGCCTGTTGAAGGAGTCTGTTCAGCTCAACCTGGCGCCACCTGGACATTTCCTGCTGCTGGGGTCAGTTCTCATCTATGATCGCAGCATTTCTTTATTTCATCGATTCCTTGGAAGGCTTACAGTAATTCATGAATGATCCTCAGTCTCAGTTTTTCTCTTGCAGGATGCTCAATGACTTTGTCAACCGTCTCCCTAACATGGATAGTAAGAAAGACTCTAAAGATCTGCAGGTAAGATGCCAGCAGTGTCGCCCCCTCACACATCTACAGGCAATTAGTGTCCTGTTTACAGCGTAGGCAGGTGAAGGTAAGAGGCTTTGTTGATTGAACCTTTGAGCAGGAGGTGACTCAGCGGATCCTGGAGGCAGTAGGTGGGATCGCAGGCTCCTCTTTAGAGCAGACCAGCTGGCTCAGCCGAAGCCTGGAGGTCAAAGTGCAATCACAGATTTGCCCAGAAGCTGAAGAACCAGATGATGCAGATGTGGACGGGGATCACTGTGGTAATTTGACACTCAAAACAATAAATACTTGATAGCAAGGTAGACAAAATATAACACACACAAAAATACTCTAGTGGAGGGATTTTCTCCAGTTGATACAGAGTCAGATTTCTGCGTACAGTCTTAAATGCATTTATCCATCTTTAAGGTGGTGCTCAAGAAAAATCTAGTGGGTTTAATTTAAGGCTAGGCCCCCTTAAATTTAAGCTAACAGATAATCAAAACAATGAGAAAACAAAAGCAGATTTACAGTGGAAAGTTGTGGATTTAAACAATCCCAGAAGGTTAATCGAATTCATTTCTAAGCAAAACTTCAGACTTAAAAAGTCTTGTTTTCAGATAATTAGACGCACAATAAAGCAGTTTGTGCGTCTTTCCTTGCTGACTCCATATGACAAATCCAATATTCCTAATTTATTCGGCTTTTTCGCCTTGAAGCGAGCATGCACATCCAAAATGATAACCCATCTCACCTTTGAGTTCAACCACCGCAGCCAGCCTGCGTTCAATGGCACCCAGCATACGGCTCAGCTCCCGATCCTGCTCGTTCACAGCCTTTGTGAGTGGGTTAACAGCTGCAGCCTGATCAGTGCCCAAATTGCAGCCGACATCCTCTGTAATGGTAGATACATCAGGTATCCTCCAAATCCAAACAGGAGAAATCTGAGTATCATAAATCTGAAAATGCATACATCTTAGATGTAGGACAGGAAGGGCCCCCTTTTCCCTGTCTTCCAATTAAGAGAAAAAAATCAAATGCTGATATCAGAACTGGGTTTTAGGGACAAATTAAAAGATGAGATGTTTTCTTGTTGGAAAAATCCTGCATCCTGTTTTGGATTATTAGGGGGAAAAAAACTGTAATTTCTCAGATTAAGCAAAACTAGTTAGAAGAGTCAGGAAACTGAAGAGAATCAAAAAGAATCAAGGCTCAAACCTATTTTAAACTGGAAGCTGGTGGGACACCATTGTCACGGTTCACCTTAAAAGCCACTTATGTATCAACATGAGTATATTAACAGAGAAAAAGGCTTCTGCTCCAACATGGACACCTTCAGGTTTGACCAAAATCAAATACCGCCCACATAACTTTCTTCCAAAAGGATTTTAGCTTCTTTGTTTTTGTTCCTAGTATAGATACAGTTTGAGCTTTCTGTCTACACTGTCATACTGAAACACTGCCTGTACCAGTGGTACAGCACAGCAGTAGGCGCATCATGTTAAGGGTCTTCATCTCTTCCATGGGTGCATTACACCCAGTTTGTGGAATAATGAAGATAGAAGAAAATGAATTAAATTCTACCAACAAACCAATTGATAGATGATCAGTTAACCAGACAATATTAAATATATCTTCATATCAACATGTCTTTTTCTTCGTATATTATCTCATTCATATATATATATATATATATATGTGAGGACCAGAATGTTCACATTTTGGACAAATAATTTATGTGGTTTGAGAGGGGCGTGAAGGAAGCCATCTATGTCAAGAAAGAAAAACCATCCTTAAACAGGGGGAGTCGACTGATTTCAGCTTTCAAAAACCTCCAATGCAGCAATTGATTTGATCCCTTTCCGCTATTATCGCAACCCCAACCCCTTTACAGGGTAGCAAAAGACCTCGCCTATTCAGCCAGGCCAACAATTCCCTTTAACGACACCTCTTTATGAGACATAGACAGGCATGGGGCTTTGCAGGCTAACGAAGAAGCCAAACGACCCCTATTCCAAAGGGGTGGACCTGTTTGTCTGTTTAAATTTGCATGTTTTCTAAACAAAAACAAGGCCTTGTTGGGATCTGTATATACCCTCGAACTCAACATTATTCCTGAAATTTTGAATAGAAAAAGCTGGGAAGCGAAACGTCTTCAAACTTGGAAACAAAGTGGATAGTTTTTTTTTACTTGTTTGGAATATGTTTAAATAATAGACCAGATTAATTAGCAGGTCAATGGTTTAGGCTGAGATTAAAAAAAGAATTACAAGCCCAATTTAATGTCATGTCAGTGAAAAGTGTGTACAATATTTCTGACTGAAATTCTCTCTTTTCCTTTTCCTAGAGTCAATGACTCAGGCTAACGCCATGGTGTCCTCCTCTGCTCCCTCAGTCTACAGTGTGCAGGCTCTTACTCTGCTTGCTGAGGTGCTGAAGTTTTGATTATCTTTTTAAATCCGCAGCTAATGAGATATTGACTTTGCATTCTATTGGAAGCAGTTAATTGACATTCTTCTCTTTATTTCTTGTAGATCCTAGCACCTCTTCTGGACATGGTCTACCGCAGCGATGAGAAGGAAAAGGCTGTTCCCCTCATCTCACGTCTCCTGTATTACGTTTTCCCCTACCTCAAGAACCACAGGTGATGTAGAATCATGTTAATGTTTGCAGGTTCAGCCTCACTGGCTTTATGTGATTTTTTTTTTTTTTTTTTTTACGTTGGACCTCTTCCCTGTAGTGCCTACAACATGCCCAGCTTTGCAGCAGGAGCTCAGCTAGTGAGTAGCCTGAGTGGGTATGCCTGCACCAAAAGGGCCTGGAAGAAGGAGGTGTTTGAGCTCTTCATGGACCCTTTTTTCTTCACCATGGAGGCCTCTTGTGCACACAGGTTAGTGTGAGTCTATGGTGGAAGTATATTTCTGTCACCATTCCTCATAGTCCTTTTAATAAGATGGAATAGAATAGAAATCCCTTTATTGTCCCACAATGGGGAAATTCTAGTCTTTACAGCAGCAAAAGATTATAGAAAAAATGGTCACACAAATATGGACCTGTATAAGAACAACCTGAGAAAGAAGAGTTAAAAGATAAACAATAAAATACTGTGAAGTGTTTTAACAATATATATTCTGTGCACCTGGAGAATAAATAATAAATATACAGCTATGGATATTTTTACAGTATATGGGAAAAATTAGCAGCAACACCAAAGATGTGTAAAATGACAGCAGAATGTTATTTAACTAACAACGGTAGAAACTGCAAAATCAGCATGAATGTAAAAACTTATTGAGGTTGTTGAGAACAGCGACTGGGAGGGAGGATCTGTGATAACGCTCTCTGTTGCATTTAGGGTGCAGCAGTCTGTCACTGAAGATGTTGGAGATAACACAGTTGTCTGCAGCTTTATGGGACATGGAGTAATTCAGTAATCCTTTCCCACACCTGTTGTTGCACACTGCTCCCCAGCTGGCTTTAAAAGGCCACCACAACTTTATCTTCTGTTTAATAAAAACAAAAAAAATATGGCTGCATGGGGGAAAAACAAAGCTGAATAAGCTCCACATATCGTGTTTAATATTGTAATGCTGATTTAAAAATACAAATGGCCGTAAATCAGCCTCACAACTGTTAATATGATGGGTTGATATGAATAATCTTTGCTTTTCTATTTAAGTGAAAGCAGTAACAGCGTGTTATAAGTATTTCTGTTTAAATGAGAACATTGAGTTACTGCTCAAGGTTATTATAACATAAGAAGCTCATAGCCATAGCTAAAACTTGTACAAATCACATTATAAAGAAGCGGTGAAATATGTAGGGGCCACATTGGACCTGGAGGTTAGATGCTTTTACTTAGCTTGTTGCTTTTTATTCACATATGTGATTCTCACAAACTAATCATTAAAGCAGGTCTTACTCTGTTTTTCCTTTATTTTGGATTTATTTATTTTTATATTTATGTATTTATTTTTTGCCAATTATAACACCTTCATTGGCCTATCAGCTTCCTCCAGCTTCTGCTGACATTTCTAAATACTTTGAACTCTACATAAACAGTTTATTTGACTTTAACCGTTTGTTTCGTTGTGATGAAATAAAGTCTATTAAGCAAAAAAGAGTTATAAATTTGTATGTTGATTGCCACATGGTATTATACTGTGTCCATTGGGAATATGGAACCCATTTTTTTAATAAATAAACATAAAATAAATTATTTTTAGCAGTTTTGAGGTTAATTAGAAATATAAAACATATTAGTTATAAAGTCACCCTGCCTAAAAGAGAACATGCCTGACCTTGATTTGGAGAAAAAAACTACAATGATCATTTGTTTTCATCTCTGGCTTAGAAGAATTGGTACCGTTCTGAAGCTACTTATGTGATAAATAAATTTAAAAAAATTTATTAATACTTTGCATTTGATGAGTATCTGTAAAGTTTATTTTAAAAGGCCAGTCCCTGCAGTCGCTTGATGTAGATCCACTCAGATATTCAAGAACAGCTCTAGTCAGGATCCATAATGTATAAAACAGAGATTCTCATTCTGAAGACTATCTTTCGGCTCTGTTTTGAAGCATGAATAATGAAACTGTTTTTTGGGGGGGAAATATGTGCAACATGTTGCTTTCGCAATGCAATCACTCAGTGTTCACTTACATAGTACCAGTATACCAAATAAAGTGACAGTAGTAAAGGTGTTAGTATATCGTACAAAAATCCAACAGAAAATAGTGAGACATTGATACCCTACAGCTAATAGGTAAATTCCTCCAATACTAAATGCTTCAGGGGAATTTCCCTAAAATGGTTCTATTTACAAAAAATAAAAATAAATTAACACATTTTCTACCTTAAAATACATGACTTTTGTTTGCATGATTCTCTTTTTTTCCCAGTTTTAATGCCCTGTTTTTTTTTTTATTTTATTACTTTGTAGTTGGAAATCAATTATTGACCATCTTCTGACTCACGAGAAGACCATGTTTAAAGACCTGATGGGTGAGTAAAGGCTTTTATTCACTGAGAGCCATTCAGAGACACAGGATGTCATTGTTCTCAATATTCACAGCTAAATTAAAACATCATTTATAAATGGTGAAAATAATTAAAGATCAGCATTCTGTTGCAATATTAGCAGCTAGTTTATCCAAATGACAAATGAAAACTTTTTTTTGTTTTTTTTGCTCAACAGGCATGCAGAGCAGCTCCCTGAAGTTGTTCCCTAGTGCCGACCAGAAACCAATGCTGCTGAAACGACAGGCTTTTGCAATGTTTAGTGGCGAACTGGACCAGTATCACCTCTACCTTCCACTTATTCAAGGTAGGCCACTGTAATGGAAAGGTTTTTGAAAGCATACTGAAGCTAGTTTCAAATAAAAATAAAGCTTTTTGTATGTATTGCTTTCAGAGCGCCTCACTGAGACTTTGAGAATGAACCCGAGCCCTGCTGTGTCAGCCCAGATGTTCTTGATGTTCCGTGTTCTCCTCCTGCGGATCTCATCTCAGCACCAGACGTCACTCTGGCCTATAATGGTCACAGAACTTGTAAGTTACCTTTCTAAAAAAAAAACTCACACTGTAGGACCTACAGGATCACCTTAGCATGAAAACTTTTTTATCTTTAACCTGTTTTCCAGATACGGATATTTGCTCGTCTAGAGAAATCTTTGAAGCCAGATAAAGAAGTCTCAAAGTGAGTTTTTTTTTTCTTCCTTTTTTTTTTCCTATCTATATTTCCGATAAATCCTAAAAGCTATATTTTAAAAGCCTTTTGTCTTTCTCTGTATGCCACCAAGGCTGAACAAAGTGATGCGAGGACCACTTGACAAAAACGGACCAGTAAACTTCTCCCAGGCAGAGCTGGACATGTACCTGTCAGCCTGTAAATTCCTGGACACCTCCTTGGCTTTTCCTCCAGAGAAGATGCCACTCTTTCAGATGTAGGAAACTGTATGCCATACTTTCCATGTAACATGGGGATTTATTGGTTTCAGAAGCATCTGATTAAAAATCTTGCAGGTATCGCTGGGCATTTGTCCCTGAGGTGGATGTGAGCCGCTACAGTGGTCCAGAAAACGCTCTGATTGAAGGCGAACAGGAATGCACGCCACATGTGGTCAGAGTATTGGAAGGGATACAGCAGCGCTATGGGGTAATTAAATTAAATCCTCCTTTTCTCAGCTAAACTGTTTCTGTGGCTGAAGGGTACAAGACATTAAAATAGAGTGGTTGAAATGTGTGGGGATATTTACAAAGACATTTTTGCCCGGTCAGTTTCGCTATGATATAAATCAAAACATTATGGGGTAGCATGTTAAAGTACAAATCCCCTTGAACTTCTCAACCGTTATATTATGTTCAGTCATGATTAGAAAGTCCAGTAGCTTCACTTCATCTTCAGAGTTATTAACCTTAGTATGATATTATTACATTTCTGCTTTTTTAATCCCATTGGTATAGGCTTTGAGCCAGGTCCTAACAACTTAGAGCAAATGAATTAAGTCTGATGGGTTAAGATTCACTAGTTTTTAGTTGACAGAGAAGACGTTTTGCTGCATGCTGAGGGAATTGAGCCTAATCGAGCTCTGTAGGGTCAAGTTAGCCATTTGTGCTACAAGCCTGTTAATATTTGCTATTTTTTGTTGGTTAATCTGTTGACAGTTGGGGGATGCTTCATGTGTTTTAGTTCTCCGTGGCAATAGTGTAAAAAGAACCCCCTTGTTAGGCTGTGAGAGGCTCCTCTCTAGGTTATCAGTTTGTTTGTTTTTTGTACAACTGCCTGTTGTTGTTGTTCTGTTGTTGGTGCAGCTGTTGTCAAGGGGCAGCCATAAATTGGTGGCAACACCACCAATTTATGGCTGCCTCATTTACACTACCCCCCTGAAACAGATCGGTGCGGAGTTCAGACCGATTTTGGATCAGTTTACAGTGCCAGACACAACCGAACCTTGTACTAGTTCAACAATAGTGCTCGGTGTGGTTCAGTTTAGGCTCGGTTCTCTGATAACAACGAGCGCATGAGCAGGCCGCTTCAACTCTTTACAGTCAGCCTCCGTAATCATGAAATTTCAGACTTTCATAAAAATACTTGCTTCCCTACCGTGCCACACGATTTCCAGTGATGATTCTGCTTAACAGTGTGATGAACCTCAACTCCTGTCATTGTTTCCTGCATCTGTAGCCCTGGTTAGACTATTGTTTGTCGTATCCACTTCCCAAAAGCCGACTCTGTTAAGTAAATTCACCAAAGACTGCCTTCTTCTCCTGACTCGCTGCAAACAACGAAATATCACATTTATAACCAAACTTCCTGAATGTTACCGGCGCCGCCTTGTTGATTTGCTTGATTCCCTCTAGAGAGCAGTAGCACCGTAGATCGTCACTAGGAGGAGAGGAACTGTGCTAGTGGGATGCGTAAACAGTCGCTCAGCACGGTTAACTGATCCAAGCTCAGTCTGAACTCGGCTGATCGGTTTTCAGAGGGTAGTGTAAATGGGGCTTTTGTTATCAAAGAACCGAGCCATGAGTGAACCGTGCTCAGCCCTACTGTTGAACTAGTATTAGATTTAGCTCAGTCCGGTTGTGTCTGGCACAGTCCGGTTCAGTTGCGGACCTTTTAGAATCAAAAAGTTATCTTGGTTACCACGCTTGGACCGTTCTTGGCATGGTCTCAAAAGGGTAGTGTAAATGGGGTAGTAATCAGGGTCACGTTCCGCTCTAAGTACCCTCTGGTATTAAATGTGTAAATACCAGCCATCTCTGACCTTGGGGGGTGAGTTTAAATAAGATCTTGTTAGACTGGTAGCAGTAATTCTCTTTAAACTACGTTTTTGTGTATTTGTGATATCACACAGATTTTTTATGATGCTTTGTGGTACGTTTAGAAGATAGAGTTTATGTCAAATCAATCAAGTGAGGTCAGCTCATGTTTGTTTGGTTCAATTCTCATGTTGGTGGCTTTGTGTAAGCAGTGGATGGCACATAGCAAACATGTGGATGAGGCAGCACCAGTCAAATTAGACCAGTTTGAAGTTTTAGATCTGCCTTTGAAGAGCTATGTCTGGCATACCCTAAATACACCATCCCCACAGTAAAATGCTTTGGGTATGTTTTATTTTAGATTCACCTTGAAGCAGATTACCATAAACATGTATCTGGAGTTCAGATTGTGGAGTTCGGAAGCTGAGGCAGAGGCTAATTTTCTCACACACAAACATTTGGTTATTCCCAAGAAAAAAACACTTAAATTCACTAAGGACGTAAATTTTAGCCAGATAAACACTCAGAACAGGTCTCCCGTTTACAGCATGAAGGAGCCTGTGTCAACTCATTCTTATCTCTCACTTCCCTTCACCCTTGTCTAGAGTAGGGAGGCAACTCCCCAATCTTAACGCCATAACTTAACTCCAGCATAAAGACTGGTACAAGACTTCTAAACAATCACCCCTATTTAGGTAAAGGCACAATTAAAATATTTTACCTCACAAATAGGCCAAGGAAAAATATGATTCCACAAAATCAACACATATTGTTGGAATCGCTCAAATTTAAATGCTAATGGAAATCTGAGGCAAGATGTGATGTCACCAGCTTTGCTTAATCCAGTTGAGTTTGATCATTTTGCAACCACAAAATTGTTCCAAGTTTGGTCTCTATATTCTAAAATAAGGTAGAGCAGGTTTACTCTGCAAGGAGGCGTTGCAGCTGTAAGAGTGGTAAAAGGTGTTGCTAAAGAGTATTGACTCAGGGAGGCTGATGACATTTTTTTTTGTTTCTTTTAAAAGCCATTTCTTGTTTTCTTTGTCTTTTACTGTTGTTTCCTAGTTTGGAGTATGGGTGTGATGTTTTAAAATCCAAATCTAGTATTTTAAAGGTTTTAGTTTTAACTTAATTAAAATATGTAATATGTATGGATACTTTAGCAAGTCACTGTATCTTCTTGCACACTCAAGCACTTCACAGTTCAAAGCTGTTTACTGTTAAATTCATGTTTATTGAGACAAAACACAGAGTTGGGATTTCAAATAACATCTCATTCTGTTTCCTGGTTTTTTTTAGGACCTTAATGAGCTGAGTGAGGAGTCCTCCACAGAGCACTTAGAGTTCCCCCTCCTCTCTCAGAGCTCCCTGTCCTCCATCACGCAGCTGATGCCATTCCTACGCACCCTTTGCTGTTCCTTCCAGGTCCCTCCCCCCGTCAGCCAGTCTGCGGCTCCCTTCCCCATTGCAGACTACCCTGCAGCCAGTTCACACACCGTCCTAAGCAGACTGGAGGACATAATTGAAAAAGAGTTCCTGGACCCCATGGAAATTAAAGACTGAATTTTTTGAGTCACAACGAGAGTCAGACCTAACAGGGGCACAACCGGTGATTTTGTTGTATTGTGAAGTTTTAGTAAAAGGTTTTGGAAATGGGATTTTTAGTGTTTTAACCTTCCTGGTTGCATCAGTACATGCACTTCTGAACTGTTTCAACTGGGGAAAAAAAAAGGGACTTATTTCAACTTTGTTCTTAATGTGAGAATAAAAACGAGCGCAGCTTTCTTTCTGTCCAAAGAATAGACATTAGCACAGCTTAAAGTCGCTACATTTTGTTCTTAACTTAATTAAAAACAGCCAGGTATTCTTGATTGGGGTCATTGTTGTGTAATCAAGGCATGCAACTTATTGTCATGACGGCACAGCCAATAGATTTAAGTCCTGTAAAAACTTACTGTGAAGAACTGTATTAGGCACCTTTAGTGTTTTGTGTTTTCCTTAACTATTTACCTGCAGCTTGTTAATTCAGGTGTAAGCATATGTCTTGAGAATGTAAAAAACTAAACATCTTAAAGATTTCTCTTAACTTATGGTCCAACCTTTAATAGTGAGCAAAAGAATGTGCTTTCTGTGCATCGGGAACATACTTTAGAGTAATGTCGTGCCTCCTTGTTGGTTATCAAGGGAAATTAGCCCCTTTTTGTTTTTATTCTTTTAGTTTTTACAGCTGCTGATGTTTGTTCTTTTTCCCTGCACATGAATGTTCCTGTAAGTTATTTATGTTAAAAAGGACCACATCAAGATTTGATGCAATAAAAAAGTCATTAAATTAAACATAGTATTTCACTTCTGCTTTGTTCTTTTTTTCAATCCTTGCTTTTTACCTTTACACCAGTTTATGATTTGATCTGTTTTTTATGTTTTTATTTACTTCTTTTAAGACATTATCCAGATAATTGCAGCACTCTATGAGATCTAACTGATAATAGACTCCAATGTCTGGGTTAGTGCTATTGCAGATCACATATTTAAATAAGATAAAAGTTAAATCAGTCTAAATAATTTAAACAAATAAAATTGATTCAGATTGTTTTCTTAATTCTCTAGTCTGCCTCCACGTGACACAAATTATAGGGGGAAAAAATGAAGAAATGTATTTTGTTTTAATAAAAAGGTCAACAAACTAGTATTTTTAAAATCCACAAAGATACCTTTTTTATGGTTTTAGAAAAAATATCATTAAACAACATTTAAAATAAGTGTAAATCCATTACATTTTTGCAATATACTTCTGAACAAGTTCTTGTATCTGAATTGATGGTACCATTTATTATCATTTATGACAGGAAGTTTTTACTGACTGAGGGAAAGGACAATACTTTTAGGGCCGGATTTATCAAGATCCAATTTTGCGTGCAGTAATTTGCGCTTGCAAAATGGAATTTTGCGCGAGGGGCTGAACCATGGTTTGCGGGTGATTTAACAAGAGCGATTGCGTAACTGGTGGCAGGTGCAAACTGTTGGTGACACCCTATTTAAATGATGGTTTTGCGCGTTTTGTGGTTTGCGGCAAAGTAGTTTGTAGTTTGTACTGTAGTGAATTAATCTGCACCAATGATTAGAATAAAATGGAATTAAATGTTTTACAATGCATATAGAGTTGTTTCACAATAAATACATTTATGTTATTAAGGCCAAAGAGAGAGAAAGAGAGCAGTGTGTGTAAGGCTCTCTGCAGCTGGCCCTTTGAAGTTTTGGGATCCAAGTAAGAGGCAGGTATTAGAAAGGGGACAGAAATATTGGATTGAATCCAAGGTGTTGGTACTGCAGAGCTACAGAGATAAGGCCTTTTGATGATGAAGTCACACTCATTAAAAATGAATTATTTGGACATATCAAGGTTGCACAGGCCAGCTGCACTAATTGTGATATATGAGTTGTCATATCCAAAGTGATACTGTGCGGTACTGAGCGACATACGAGTGATGTGTTACTGAAATTTTGAGCATCAAGGTTATGCCGACTTTTTTAATGAGATGTTATGAAAACATAAGTCACACTGGATGAAAGCGTTGTTTTGACATATTGAGTTTTGATTTAACTGCAATAAATGTCAACATGAAAGTGTAAAGAAAAGGCTTTGATAGATCAAAAGAAAGGCTTTAAAAATAATGCTCCTCGAGTGTATATAAGTGGGATTGTCTCTGCATGTAAGTCAGATGTGGACCGGTACACATCTCTGGGGGTTTATCTGTATTTTGCAATAAACCTCTCTGGACCTGGACCCAGCTGCCTCTGCCTGATTTTTGATCATTGTTTGAAGACTTCTCAACTGTTTTTAAGAACTTAGAATTTTTATAAGACTTAGCACCAATTTTAAGTCGTTGGGAGGACATTTTCCACGACAGTACAAACTAGTGCATTAAGAAATTTAAATCTTACAGTGACCCCCAACAAAAAAATATATATATATAATATAATATATATATATATATATATATATATATATATATATATATATATATATATATATATATAAACTTTGGCAACCTTTATTCCCTTTATTCCCTGTGGTATGTGGCTGAATTTCTACTTCACTGCAGTAAAAAAAAAAAAAAAACTGGTGTTTTGTATTGGCCTGTAGAAAAATGCACATACCAAATGGCTCACAAGAAGTGACTGTGGATGAAAATACTGCGCGTACGCATCCCTGCAGCATTGGCATGTTGCTCCACAGGCGCAGGGGGGAGGTCGGGGTTCTCCGGTAGGGCGTCAGGGCGACATGGCATTTAGAACGTCGGACAGCACTTCTGAAAAAAGAGATTGGGAGATCCCAGCTCTCGCTGCAACCGTACGCTGGAATGACCCAGATGCAAAAAAGTGCAGTGTTGCAAGGAGTTTTGTGATATCTGGTATTGCTTGGGTCCTCCTTGTGGCTTGCTCCAAATCTATTCGGAGTTCCCCCCACAGCTCCAAAATGTCAATGCTGGATAAATGATATGTTTTGATGATCGTTTCCTCGTTCATTCCAACCAACATTACGCATACATACCATTTGCACCTTCTTTTGAAACGTGTTAAATATAGAGTCAGATACCATTAGCAAAATTGCTTTCAGGTTTAATAAATCACTTTGTGAGTGCTAAATTAATAGATTTACACAAGAAGCACTTTTGCGTGTAAACGCCCCATATTGCATATTCATTGCAGAAAAAGTACTAAATGGATAATAGCTATTTAGCACGTTTTAAACTGTTCCAAGCTATTTAGCACGTTTTGAACTGTTACAACTGTCGTCCTATAATTCTCTTCTTGACGACTTAAAATTGAAGCTAAGTTTTATAAAAATTCAAAGTTCTTAAAAAGCAGAAAAAGACTCAAACAAAGATCAAAAAATTTAGACAGAGGCCGCTGAGTCCGGGTCCAGTGTGTTTATTGCTGAACACAACACATTTACAATGAGCTGGTCAGCGGTGAGCCGAAGCTAACAAATGGTGAAACCAGCTCCCTTTTATACATTTCTTATCGGTGGAAAAACCCCCTTCAGAACATATTTCAGTCATTGGTAAAGGTCACATTGATATTTATCTGCAAAACACGGTGACATTCATAGACACATCTCATACTTGTGAGAGCACTCTCTCAGGCCATGAAAACATCTGGTGCATTCAAATCAGAAACTTATGACGGTTTAGTCAAAAACATGTCAGCCCTTGCTTCAAGCCATGTCAATCTACCATACTGCTCCCCCCTCGTCTCATCACCCTTTCAGGGACCATTACTGCTCCGTGTGCTTTGAAAATAACAACTCTCTTTGTATGGCCAGATTTTTGCTGAGCTGGGCAACCTTGGGATGTCAAATATTTCATTTTTATTGCGGGTGCTTTCTTATTACTAAGGGGCCTTAACCCTGCGTTGTCCTGTAGATCTCACTCCCATTGGCGCCAGCTGCAGCAGATACACACACTCTCCTCTGCACTTCTCCCCTCTGGCCCCGAATGGCTCCATTCATTGCTCTGCTTTTCTCCTTTTTGGCCTCGAAAGGCTCTTATAACAGTATTTGTGAAAACAACTTTAAACCTACAAAACATTAACTTTATTCCATCTTATGATTAGCGCAGATTAATACACAACACAACAGGAAAAAATAACCAGCAAAACATCCATATTTTCTAAATAAAGACTAACTATACTTTCCTACAGCGTTTGCTAACAAAAAGACGCATGTATTTAAACATCCGTAATTTCTAGATAAAAGGTATAGTGGATACAACTCAGTTTCGAGTTCAGGGGTAAATTAATCATCATTGTCATTATTTACCTACTTGTATCAATAAACATTCTGGATAAAATTGATATTTACAAGCACTAATATCTACATAAATTGATTATTTGATTTTTTTTTTTATTGTTATTTTTCTTTGATTTCACTGAAGACTCCAAGATGACTTGCAGAGACACGTTTTTCTCTTTACCCCATATAATGCAAAATCAAGCTCTGAAAAGAGCATGAATTCTGTACTTATCATCTTTGGCGTTAGTATATTGATGTGCATAATTAACCACAAAAAAATAAAATGTTTTGAATATTCCACTTGAGAGTATTACTGTTACCACCATCTATCTGTATTAGAGGGAGAAAAATGATTGGCCACCCCTGGCCCCCCATCTAGCTCCGCCCCTGTCCATCTGTCTTGCTGTGTCTATTTTTTGTTTTGTAAGTACTAAATGGATAAGAGCTATTTAGCACGTTTTAAAGACCAAATCCTTTTAGCATCAGATCAGTTTGTACATTTTTTAGTGTGCGCAGTGAAATAGCTCACGTTTTTATACACGCAAACCTTTGATAGATCCGGCCCATACTGTTTAAATGAAACATCAAGACATTTATAGCATGAGAGCCTTAACTTTGTGGATCGTAGCAAGCAGATCTCCTTCTTCTCCTTCTTATTGTGTTTTATGGCGCCTAATTCCATCAGTTACCACCAATGTGTTACTGGCCCTCTCAAACAACTCAAATCTTTGTTAGGGAAGCTATGGGAGAAGATTAGGGCCACTGAAAAAAAAAAAGGTTAACTGATTTTTAAATTTTATTTCATTATAATATGACAAAAAAAAAGTCAGAATTCCGACTTTTTTTCCTCAGAATTCCGACTTTTTTTTTTTCCAGAATTCTGACTTTAATCTCAGAATTGTGATTTTTTTCTCACAATTCTGACTGTTTTCTGACAGCTAACAAGCATTTTAGCCTCAAGCCGTTGCCATGTCTAGAGACTAGCTCTCTTGTTTTCACCTTCTGCCCTTCCATTATTGAACTAGCATCACCAGGGACCCCTCTGACATGTAAATGTTGCCTAATTTTCCACCAATGTGTTACTGGCCCTCACAAACAACTCACATCTTTGTCAGAGAAGCTAAATGCTCCCACATCTCTTCCTTCATGCTGCCCATCTACATCAAGAGCCAAAATTCTGAGATTAAAGTCAGAATTCTGAGATTAAAGTCAGTGTATAAAATGAGAAAAAAATCAGAATTCTGACTTTTTTCTCATATTATAGGCTACTGAAATAAAAAATTTTAATCAGTTGTTTTTTTTTTTCCAGTGGGCCTAATCCTCTTCTGTATTTTACCGTTTAAACAGCTAAGTTAAATCCGTATCTATATTAGGCAACAATGATGGGTGAATTAATGGCCTAATCATTGTTTTACAGACGTTTGAGATAATTCTAGAGCTTTTATAATATTATCTGATGATCATCCAAAGGAATTTAATTTCCCCTTTCCTTTTTCCCAACACGGTTTTAAAATTTCTTGACATAGATTAGTTTCACAATGATTCTTTTACT